AAATTTGCCAAATTTGTAAATAAAGCTAGCCTAATAAAGACATTCTACCATTGAGACAATTATAGCTCTGAATTATTAAAATATACAGAAAGACTGTTTACACCATTGCACATAATTATTCCCTTTTAATTTTAAAAGTGTATGAAACATGGAATAGTTAGCAGAATTGACCTGAATTGTATCCATGCACACATACGAAAAGTTGTGGGAGAAGGGGAAAATACAACATTGCCCAGTAAAGTCCGTAAAGAAAGCTGCCTGCAGCATTCCAACACAACATTTTCTTTTTCATGAATGAACCAGCCAGTTAGTGCAAAAATGGCTGCATTACGTTCTCTTTACTATCCTAAGTGGTTTATTCAGACACACGACCCCTTTACTAATATAGCATAGGTCGATGCAGTTGGGCTTACATGTTTTAAGGCACTTCTTACTGCTCAGAAGACAGTGTATTAAGGCATGGAGTATGTTATTCTAGAGGTAAAAAAAAATGTTTTCGTGGATTGATGTTCATAAGCACAGGTTGAGTATGGGAATATGCAAGCACTTTATAAGCTTGTTCCGATTCTCCTGGAAGAGGTGCTGATCACCATTTTTGGAGAAAATGTAGACCATGTTCCAACAGCGAGGGCCAAACAAGACAGATTGTCCGACTTCACCTGCAGCTGCTTTGACTTCCGTGACTACTCACTGATCGAGATGTGCTGTAACGTTTTTTCACAATCATGCTAATATAGGCTTTCATCAGTTTGGCAATATCAATGACCTACACAAAGATAATCAAAGCAAAATGGATTAGCGCACATTTCAACTTACTGTCTTTGTTGTAAAGCACATGCAGTGCAAATATAAAATTATACATCTGCAATCACACAGACTAGGAAAACCTGAAGCACATTTTTGTTAAATTGGCCCTTAATTATACAATTTAATAGAAGCAATTTGGGCTAAAGTGAAAACTAAATCTATTCATATTTTTTTTTAAAAAATCAAGAAACTGGTAGCTTTTTATTTAAACAGATACATTGAATGAAATACTTATTTCAGGTAAACCCAACTCCAGGGCCACAGTCCAATACTGGTATGTGGCCTGTTGGACCTGGGCCGCATAGCTAGAGGTGAGTGGTAGGGGAACTGAACAAAACCAAAGCCATCCTTCCCACGGCCAGTGGAAAAACTGTCTTCCACAAAACTGATCCTTGGGCACCACATTTTGGACACCACTGATCTATTGGGTTATAAGAAGCCAGGAAATTGCATATGCAGTTAAAATGATAGTGAAAAGGGGAGCAATACGCTTAAGCTATCATGTTTGAATTTTAATGGAATAAATGATTTTGCAAAATTCTTGTTCAATTCTGATTTTCTCTCACCTCACTGGTTCCAAAAAGCAGTTCTCTCTCATCCACCACAATCTTGTACACATTAGCAAGTGGAGCTCCAAAGGAGAGAATATGTTCATACTGAAATACTTCCAATGGTCTTCCATCTCCACGCTTGTATACAGAAACTGCCTCTGCATTAACGCCCAACCAAAGCTCTTGAGGAAATCCTCCTTCTTTACACTAAGGAAAAAAACAAAATAACATAAAGATGATTGATGGAAACAGTATATATGATTGCTTCTCCTTGTTACAACTGTTCAAATAAATTTGGAATGATTACCTTATCAGTTTCTGTATTAGTTTTCAACATACATCTTCCCCAATACTTTCTCAGTCTTATATTTTGTTTAATGAGTCAATTGCTTAATTCTTTGAAAATGTTTACACAACATTAAACGTTTGAAAATGTTTAAACAACGTTACTCCAAAAAGGAATTGAGTAATGGTTATGTATGTATGTATTACACAACAAAACCGTATGTGATTAACATCCCTTGAACATTTGCTTATTAAAAAACACCTTATAAAATCCCAGGCATGGAACATATCAAAAGACTATTTCCTTTAAAGTTAGATTTCTTAAACCTAAACCTTTCCTAATATCTGGATGTCAATATTAATCCAAAAGAGCCCCAAATGGTTGAACTGAACGTACGGGAAAATGGCAATTAAGATGGGGTATGACCAGGGGTGGGATTCAAAATTTTTAACAACTGGTTTTGTGGGTGTGGCTTAGGTGGTGGGTGTGGCTTGGTGATCATGTGACTGGGTGGACATGGCTTGGTGGTCATGTTATTGGCTGGGTGTGGCCAACTCAATCATTCACATCGAGGCACGCATCTCCTCGCCTAGCCTCTCATGACTGTGGGGGTGCTGCAACAGTCATAAGTGTGAAAAACGGTCATAAGTCACTTTTTTCAGTGCCATTGTAACTTTGAATGGTCACTCCACACAAACAAAGTACCAGCAAAGGAAGGGAAAAAAACCTCCAGAGAAGTTCCTGAGACAGGAAGTCTAGTCCTGCCAAGAATGTAATAAGGGTTAATGGAGGGGCAGTTTCTGTAAGCAACACCAGAATGTTTCTTTCCTGCCTTCCTTATAAGATTAGGCCAGTAATTTCTTCTAACAACCAGTTCTCCAAACTGCTTAGAATATTAACAACCGGTTCTAGCAAATAGGTGCGAACTGGTAGAATCCCACCTCTGGGTATGACTATGCGTGAATGAGTGATTTTGAATTGCTGCTCACTGCATGTACACTGCTCAAAAAAATAAAGGGAACATTTAAACAACACAATGTAACTCCAAGTCAATCACACTTCTGTGAAATCAAACTGTCCACTTAGGTAGCAACACTGATTGACAATCAATTTCACATGCGGTTGTGCAAATGGAATAGACAACAGGTGGAAAGCATAGGCAATTAGCAAGACATCCCCAATAAAGGAGTGGTCTGCAGGTGGTGACCACAGACCACTTCTCAGTTCCTATGCTTTCTGGCTGATGGTTTGGTCACTTTTGAATGCTGGCGGTGCTTTCACTCTAGTGGTAGCATGAGACGGAGTCTGCAACCCACACAAGTAGCTCAGGAAGTGCAGCTCATCCAAGATGGCACATCAATGCGAGCTGTCGCAAGAAGGTTTGCTGTGTCTGTCAGCATAGTGTCCAGAGCATGGAGGCGCTACCAGGAGACAGGCCAGTACATCAGGAGACATGGAGGAGGCCATGGGAGGGCAACAATCCAGCATCAGGACCACTACCTCCACCTTTGTGCAAGGAGGGACAGGAGGAGCACTGCCAGAGCTCTGCAAAATGACCTCCAGTGGGCCACAAATGTGCATGTGGCTGCTCAAACGGTCAGAAACAGACTCCATGAGGGTGGTATGAGGGCCCGACGTCCACAGGTGGGGGTTGTGCTTACAGCCCAACACCATGCAGGATGTTTGGCATTTGCCAGAGAACACCAAGTTTGGCAAATTCGCCACTGGCGCCCTGTGCTCTTCACAGATGAAAGCAGGTTCGCACTGAGCACATGTGACAGACGTGACAGGGTCTGGAGACGCCGTAGAGAACGTTCTGCTGCCTGCAACATCCTCCAGCATGACCGGTTTGGCAGTGGGTCAGTAATGGTGTGGGGTGGCATTTCTTTAGGGGGCCGCGCAGCCTTCCATGTGCTCGCCAGAGGTAGCCTGACTGCCATAAGGTACCGAGATGAGATCCTCAGACCCCTTGTGAGACCATATGCTGGTGCGGTTGGCCCTGGGTTCCTCCTAATGCACCATAATGCTAGACCTCATGTGGCTGGAGTGTGTCAGCAGTTCCTGCAAGACGAAGGTATTGATGCTATGGACTGGCCCGCCCGTTCCCCAGACCTGAATCCAATTGAGCACATCTGGGATATCATGTCTTGCTCCATCCACCAACGGCACGATGCACCACAGACTGTCCAGGAGTTGGGGGATGCTTTAGTCCAGGTGTGGGAGGAGATCCCTCAGAAGACCATCCGCCACCTCATCAGGAGCATGCCCAGGTGTTGTAGAGAGGTAATACATGCACGTGGAGGCCGCACACACTATTGAGCCTCATTTTGACTTGTTTTAAGGACATTACATCAAAGTTACTATCAGCCTGTAGTGTTTTTTTCCACTTTAATTTTGAGTTTAACTCCAAATCCAGACCTCCATGGGTTGTTAAATTTGATTTCCAGTGATATTTTTTGTGTGATTTTGTTGTCAGCACATTCAACTATGTAATGAACAAAGTATTTAATAAGAACATTTCATTCATTCAGATCTAGGATGTCTTATTTTTGTGTTCCCTTTATTTTTTTGAGCAGTGTATATACTGGTTGCATCTGGATTTATTTCCAAAATGGAGATGTAGAGTGTGCAGAGGTATGAGTACAGCACTTGTCTGCTATACTCTTTAAAGCAGCTACCTATTTTTCCAGGATTAAGTGCTAGGTACAGAAGGTAGCTGTGTAATCCCAAGAAAGAATGGGGATACTTTATTAAAGCAGGGGTCTCCAACCTTGGCAACTTTAAGGCTTGTGGACGTCAACTCCCAGAATT